CCTGCTTTTGAACATAGCACTTTTGTAAGTATTATTGAAGGTAGGATTTTAAAAGGGCTGTGCAACTATTTTAAAATTAAAAAGAATTCTTAGTTTGTAATTTTTAGATTGTTTACCTTGTCAAGTGATAGAAGTAGCTTCTCTTTCCTCGGAAATAATGCCATACCTTTGAGGAATCGAAAAATGAAAACGGACTATTTCTCTATCTGCATTCGCAACGTGGCGGCAGTGTGAAACATGTAGCACTGCGTTACTGAGGGATGATGTTATAAGTGTCCTCTCTGTTGGGATCGTGGCACCATGTTCTACTCTCTTTTGCCTGTCGTGCGACCTTGACGTCAGTGGTGCTCATATCTTACTTGCGTCACTACCACGGGAACCGGACGTCTCCTCGAAATTAAAAAAGCGTTTTACGTTCGAATCTTTTTTTTTTAATAAAAAATTGGGCTTGTAGGAAAAAAGATTGTTTTCTATTCTAGAGACTCCCAGGCTTAACGTCCCAAAGTTCGAAAATTGTTGCACAGACCCTTTAAACGGGCACTGAAGTCCGTTTTGAGATCCTCATTTTGTGGTCATAACTAGGGTTTGGTGTTTTCGGTTCAAAGCGATAAAAGTATGCCGCATTTACTTTCGGAAATTTGGTTGATCCAGTCTTCCTGTGTCAAGTTTGCTCTTGTCCTCTCAAGATAGAGTCTCAACTGCTGGCATTGTACTTTATTCCTTTGATTTTTTCTCAAAGAGCGAGAGGGCAGGTCATCTTGTCTGATCTAATTCAGGCTGTATTGTAGGGGACACCGAAAAAAAAACACGCTGCTGTCCAGCACACACCATCACGCTTCCACTTTGGTTAAACGAAATTCAGTTTGCTGCTGTACGAGCATGTTGCCACTAGAAACTAACCAGCTTTGGCAGTCCTCAAAATGGGAAGGAAGAGAAGGCATGCCAAATATTATCATTGTCTAGAAGAGCACATAGAGTCTGCTCACCACATCAAAGTGAAAACTACACTGCCCTAATTTGTTTAAGGAAAATTGAAAATACAGCAACAGATAAAATAGTTAAGTGCCTAATGTACTGCACTTTGGATGAACAAGCATAAAAAGAGTGTATTCCATCATTACATATTCATCGACAAAAACCGGTTAACTTGCATCTGTAATATACTTACCAATAAAAACCAAAAACATCATTTAGAAAAAAAAGAACAAAAGTATGCCGAATTTCAGAGGAAAAAAAAAACTCAGAACCCTAATCATAACTTAATATAAGAAGCATCCTTAAAAACCCGAAACTACATTCATGCGTGGCCGATTGCCTTATTAAAAAAAGTGATCAAAGATTGCGACAGTTACCGTTGTTGGGGACAGACACATGGTGCTACCAAACCTTCCTGAATATGGTCGAACGACGGACAGTGCTCGGCAGCCAGCTGCGAGCGATGGGTTCCCGCCGTCCACACCGGAACCTATCGCTTGCAGCTGGCTGACGAGCATTGTCCGCCGTTCAACCATATTCAGCAAGGTTTCGTAGCACCATGTGTCCGTCTGCAACAACGGTAACTCACAATCTTTGATCACTTCATTAATAAGGCGATCCGCCGCGTATGAATGTAATTGCGCGTTTTTTTAGGACGCTTAGAACTCGTAGACCGAGTTATGATCATAAAAGCACTTTAGTGCCCCTTTAAGTGTTCCAGAAACACAGTTCACTTGCCTTGACATCCTTTCTTTTTTTAATACAGTTGCAGCAAGAGTTTACTGCTGTGACAAGCAAGCCAATGGAGGTCAGCTTGGCGGCCTGCCTGTCCGAGAGCTGCCTGCGGATCTTGGATGCCGCTAGGAAGAAGCGACACCTGTGTAGCTTTTTCGAGGATCTGGACCGACGGGTCGCACAAGGGGACAAAGGCCCGGAAGATGTTAGGACTTGGTGGTTCAAATAACTTGCGGTTGATAAGATGAATACTGCAGGAAGGCTACAATGCTCAGTCTTCCTGTGCTTAATCCTTGTTTAGATAGATTAGGTAGAAAGGAGAGAAATGTACTATTTGGGCGTGTTGGTAGCTTTTATACACTTAGAAAGAGGAGACACATAAGGGATGACACAAACAGGGCAATCTTCCACCTTTGACTACATTTCTTTTAGACTTCAAGCACGGCGTACGACCATTCTGTGGGAAGAAGATAATGGGAAATTGCTTGGGGGAAGGGGGGGGGGGGGGGCAAAACGATTGCAAGCCAGGTGGAATGCGAAGGTATGGACACAAATAACGCTGCTTTGGATTCCCAACATGCAATTTTTATTCATGGGGGACAATGCCCTGGCTGCGCTCCTAATTTCGCTGCCATGACGAATTTGGGGAGCCACTGCAAGTTTGTCAGAGAAATAATCTAGGCTTTTCGGATGTTGACTGAGCCCACAGAATATTAGGTTCCCCACCCATCTCTCTATAGCAAAAAGGATTAGCCATTCTGAGCCTGACAATGGACGTTGAGCATTGACAAACACGGTAAGACAATGAGTTGAGCAGAGTCTACTACGCAGACGCCCCTTCTCGCTGTAATTCCCATCTGCCCCCCCGCCCCTTCCACTTAGAAGCATCTTTGTATGCCAATCCTTTTGCCCCCCCCCCTCTGACTTAAGCATTTTCCTATTCCCTTTTTCCCATGGGGTGGGGCACCATGCTTGATAAATGTAGTTAAAGTTGAAAGATGGTCCCATCTGTGTCGTCCCCTATTTGTTTCCTCTTTCTAGTTGTTTAAGAGAAATGTTGCATGTGCTCTGTAATAGTTTGTTGTCTAGTCTCAATAGTATTAAGTTTCAGCCAACATGCCTTATTCGCGTTGAGACCTAGACTTAGTTGTGTGGAAGTGTGCTCTTGCTTGTCTATGGTTTCCTATGAGGCATGTGGTAATCAGGGAGTCTACCAATCTGGAAAACCTGGAATTCTCAGGGAATTTCGATTATCTGGAGAAGTCAGGGAATTATCAGGGAAGTTAGAAAGTTGGCTAGTAAATCAGGAAAAATGACCAGTGAAAGTGGTGTGGCAGTCTGGATTGAAGGCGATGGTTATGCATCGGCACAGCCATGCTAAATAATGTTGCCCAGAAACTGTCAGGGAGTTTTATCAAAATAGTCGGGAAGAAACTTGGGAAAGTCAGGAAATTTGAACTCAGTAATTTGGTAGACACCCTGGGTAATTCCCTTATGTCCACAAAGCAGCTGGGTTCCAGGCATTTACACTAAAAACACGGAAAAAGGTACAATGCACAAGCTCTTAGCTTGAAGGGTTGAGTTCAATGCACAAGCACGTGCATTACATTCGGGCCTACCTCAGCCTCAACCTCACGTCTGTAGCATTCTATTAGCTAAGAGCAAAACCTAGTTTCCGAGTAAGAGTAAAATAGATAGTTGTACGCCTTTTCATGATATCAGCCATGGTGATTGTATATCGAAGAGAGTAGAGGTTTTCATATTCTGAGGCAGCATAAGCCAGAAATATTCTTAAGCAACCTTCTGGTTGATTGTGGGCCTTAAGTTCAGGAGCATGACCTGCTCATACTTTGTGCTGTGTTTTGCCGTTTTGTGACTTGTAGAGCCAATGTCCTTGAGCCATTTTATGTCTTCGTGGGCAGTTTGTACTAAACGTCATCATGGCCTTTATCATTACAGAAGTTTTGACAACGGCTGCTCTTTATGTGTTGCCGTCGTTGGTTAAGCAGAGAAGCTCTGCCTTTCTCTACCCACATGTAAGTTTCAGGAACCAATCTTGTTCTTCACAGTTTATATTGTAATTGCAGCTTTTTAAATGACTTTGAAGCAGTCTATATACATTATTACCTGGCTCTTATAAGGCGGCACTAAATTTATTTTTATGGTGGTAACTTAATCTACACACTCTAAGGTTTTAAAAACCCTAAATTGTGTTGTGTGGGAATATTTATACAGCGCGGTGTTTGTCTGCATTCAAGTGATGCGACATGTCTCGCACTGTAGATGAGAAATTTAGCCAAAGCAGTACAACCGCCAGCCTGGGGTCTTTACGTACGTAATGCAGTAGTGAAACACGAACGTGTGCCGGTACGATGCTCATCCAGATTGAAACGGACAGGAGTAGGGACTGAACCCAGGATCCCTGGATTCTTCAGCGCAAGCTTTCGCTACACATACTCCTAGCTGCGACACGGTGCACTAGGCCATCGATCCCCCCTTAAAAACCTTGGAATTGCAATAATCTGTGGCTTATTCTCATATTCATACCTGCCAACTCTTCTGAGTTTCCGAATTTCGCTTCAAATCTTACGAAAACATTTTTTTTATTTATTTATTTTTAATTCGTTGTTGGCGGTATCTTGCACCACCACAAGAGGGCGATAGGTACTGTCCACGGCAGCGTCGTGGTCTTTACCGTCTTTACTATCTGTGTATCCGGTGGCCACGGATCGGTCCACAGGTTAGCAGGTATGCATATTAGAAAGGTGACCAAACATTGTTACATGCCCCTTGTTCTGCTATATATTGCAGAGTGAAGTTGCCAAGAAAAAGGGAGCTCCTCGGCTAATTGCAAGCAATAGCCTGCGGTTACCCATTTTATGACCTTGCCACACATTTTTTTATCAAGTTGACAGCTCATCATCAGAAGGTCTCTGTTGTAGATACAGTCTTTTGGGCATTGTGTCCAAGGTTGGCTTAAGGGTTAAATCTGTCTTCTTTTGGGGGACTGGATTTTGTGTGTTAAGTGACCAGCCGTTCGAAGAAAATGTTTCGATTGTTTTCATTGCCTGAAACGGCTAACAACTATGTACGAGGGCAGTTTCAAAATTTCAGAGCAAACAATGACCTAGATTTATATTGTAATTAGAGTTCTTGCTGGTTAAAGTGATTATATGTTGTGGGCACAGCTCTGGAACATTACGCATTACTTGGACAAATAGTGTCCTATTTCTCGGCTTTACATTGTCATGCTCTAGGCATATACGTTTAGTGTCCATATTGTCACAATTTCAAATGGCGTTTTCATACTCCCCATTCCTGCACTGATCACTGAACAAGCACATTTGAACTTTAATATGCATGTACATGGTAACTGAAAAAAGAAACAATTTGTTTTCTAGATCAATATTATCCCCCCAAAAAAATTATTTGGAGATAGAAACCGAATAACGTGTGCCGAATTCAACAGAACTGAAAACGCTAAACCCTATGTATATTGCATCGGACGCTGTAGGAATATTTAGGATCCATTTGAGAACTCGAAATGCCAAAAATATTAAAAGAATTACTATAGCACATTGAATTTCAATGCTGTGTGTCCTCACTTCCTACTCTTCTTACTGCTGTTATTTTTTTCATTTATCTCTGCATTTTTATTTAGGTGCTTACATTAATTTTTATGTCTGCTGTTGTAAGTCCTTTGGAATATTATCCTTTGTCCTTTGGAAGTCCTTTGGAAGTCCATATATATGATTTTATGTAATCCTGCTTTTTTGCACCATGCAGATTTGGTAAATTATACACAAAATGTGCGCATCTTAAAATTTTGAGCTTTGCAAAACCGGAACACACCTATCTTTGTCTTGCACTGCTGTAAGCTGCGGCAAACCATGACATTATTGCCATGGTGACCGTAGCTGACTTGACATGGCATTCGTAAAAAAGATAGCGTGGTAGTGGTAGCAGAGGAATGTGATAATGCACCTTTCACTACATTGTTGTGCTCAGTGCGCAACAGCTTAGGGCACGTAGAGTGGTAGGTCATATTGCGGAACCCAGGGAGACATTGTTCAATTTCTGTGTATTTTCATCTGAATGAGCATCATACTGGCATTTGTTTGTGTATCTACTATGTGAGCATGTTCTCAATCCTATGTTAGCAGTCTTACTGTGCTCACCAAATCACCCATCTACTGCAGAGAACTTATCTGGCCCTTTTGAGGGCTGACTAACTTCATGTTGTCCAAACATCTGCGCAACACAACTTTTTGGGTGGAATGCTTGGCACTTTGTCTCACTTATACAATAACATAATTACAAAAGAAAATACAGAATTTGGAAATGTGTGCCATGGTATTTGTTAATATAATGTTTTTTTTTACATTTCTTTAGGACCCAGACGCACTTCAAGCGTACCCAGCAGTGAGCTATGAGGAGAACGTCTATGAGTCGTCATCGTTCGTTGTGACCGTGGATGGACTTCATGTTAAGGAAGACTCGCTGCTGGGTGCAATTACAACCATGACTGCCATGTATTGGGTGTTCAATATGGAATTTAGTCCGAGAGCCTCCAAGACAATGCAGTTAATGTCACATGTGTTTGGGGTTAATTCTGGCATCCCAGCTAGCCCTTTGGTGCGGGTGGCCATAGGTATTTTTTGTGGTTAGGTTATCCCACCGGCAGCTGTACACCTTGTAAAGGTTTCTTTTTATGAATTTCAGGCCAAATATTAATGAGAAAACTTTGCTCCACAGAGCAAAGAGGTTGATCTCATTTTTCTATCTAAAACAATTAAGGTGGGAGGCTGGTCTTTAACTTTTCGTTTTTTATTTTTCATTTATCGGGCTGAAATTTAGTATACTTATGTATTTCTGAGTGGTGATTTCAAATAAACAATTAGTTTTCAGATAGCTCCACTAGATTTTGAGTTATTAATAAATTTATCATTTTAACTAGGCCCTCCTTACGGGCCGTTACCATAAAATTGTCAGAATATATCAGAAATATCTATAGAATTGCATTGACCAAGACATGTTTTGTGCGGTGATGCTATTTTAAGCCTGATTTAATAACGTTACATTGGTAAAAAACATTTGCAATCAAGTTGCACAAAACGGGAGGCTCTATCTTTTTGAGACTAATTAATTAAAATTATTGTATGAGCTATAAAGCAACAAAAATAGCACCACCGCACAAAACATCACTTGGTTATTTCAATTCTATAAATATGACTGATATATTCTGAAGAATTTTACGGTAACGGCCCTTAAGCAGGACCTAATTAAAATGACGAATTTATTGATAACTCAGGATCTACTAAAGCTACCTGAAAACTAATTGCATATTTGAAATCACCACTCAGAAATACATCAGTATACTAAATTTTAGCACGATAAATGAAAAATAAAAAACATGAAGTTAAAAACCAGCCTTCCCCCTTAATAATGTTTGGAATAAAAAAGTGTTCAGCGTTTTGATCAATTTGCTTTTTAATTAACAAAGCTACAAGCATAAATCAATTAAGAAACTTGGGCATCACCTTAAATTACTAAATCTTTGTACTTCAAAAAGATGCAACATGCATGCCATATTTTACAGTATCCTGAAGAAAATGTGCTCTATGAAAGCACCTTAAATTTAAGCTTTAATGATACTTTTTTGAGGACGTTGTAAGAATGCTATGCACCCATATCTTTGTAAAGTGAGGCAGTTTAGTGGTATTGCATTATACGTAACGAGTTCTTAATTTTTATTTAATTATGCTCTTATTTTTTTTATTTAAAAAGTTAATTCTTTGTAAATAATTAACTACCTTTATATTCCCTAGGCTATTCATTTTCCTACGTTTGGCCTTAAGACATCAGCCTTTTCTGTCGGTGCATAGTTCTGGGGGGAACAATTTGGCCTGCACTTTCTGAAGCACCCTGTAGTTTTATACTTTATCTTGTTTCCAGAATTTCCATTTCACCATTTTTATTTTTTATTTACTTATATCATTGTCTCCTGATGTTCCAGAATAAGTCATGTTTTATGTTTTTTCACCCCATATGTGTAATGTTTTTTGTTAAGAATTTAAACTTGCAAAGGGTCTGAACTAGTGCTGTGCATAGTACCACACTGTGATAGACTTCAGGCTCACTGTACTAATTTTGTAATTTATGTTTTCAACTGCAGTTCTTGACTTTGCGTCATGCATAAGGCATGTGGAATTCCATCTTCCTAATTTGTTTTTTATCAAAGTCAGATTACATCATGTTTTATGTGTTTTACATCAGATGTTTATTGTTTTTGTTTACAATTAGAGCTTACCTATGGTCTAATCTATAGTCATTGACCGGTTAAGAACCCAGTACAAGCCCCCCCCCCCCCCTCCCTAAAGCCGTCTAGTCTTATCCCCTCAGCACAGCAATTTCTGGAGATGGTTCGAGGAGGGACTCACCTCCTCTCCAGCTTTTGCTCAAGTGGTGTAGAGATTTGCAGGGCAGCTTGTCCTGGGTTCTCAACCTGTCCCTGACTATAGTGCCGTGCCTGCAGTGCACCCTGTGATAGAACTCCAGCCTACTGCCACTTTCTTTGTCTTTTGTTTACTTGTTTTACCTGTTGGATGTGTTCATAATTTTCATCTTCACAGTTAGCTTTTGCTTTTTTTATTTTCTTATATCAGTGTCTCTTAATGCCCCAGACTAAGTCATGTTTTATGTTTTTTCACCCCATATGTGCAGTGTTTTTTGTTTAGATTTCAAACTTGAACGGGCTGAATTAACTGGTGCATGCTGTGATACAACTGAAGCTCACTGTGCTACTTACATTGTATTTTCTTACATGTTTTTTAACAGCAGGTCTCAAATAAAGGTGTGATTGACTTGAGCTGCAAACTGAAAAACCATCGAGGCAACAGGAGTGCATCTTCAAGCGTACAGCTTGTCCTAGGGGACAAAAAGCAAGGGCTCAAATATTTGTCCCTATGGAACAAATGTAATGGATTAACATTTACTCCTTTGGGATTAATATTTAGTCCTGTGGGACTGAATGTGTGGGATTAACATTTAGTCCTAGGGGTCTAAGGGGTGGGTACACGTGTTAGTCCTAGAGGACTAAATGGAAGGGCACTACTGCTAGTCCCAGGGGTCTAAATGCAAGAGCGCAACAGTTAGTACTAGGGGTCTAAGTGGTGGGTGCATGTGTTAGTCCTAAGGGACTAAATGGAAGGGCGCTACTTTAGTCCCAGGGGTCTAAATGCAAGAGTGCAACAGTTAGTCCTAGGGGGACCAACTGTGAGAGACTATCCGTACGGGTGCAACAGTTGCTCCCACCCCCGTTAGTCCCCCAGGGGACTAATGGTAGTGTCAGCGCAGTTACTCCCCGAAGGGACTAAATCACGCTCCCTTTTTTCTTAGAGTGTACTATGTAGAGCGAAAATAAGCAGTTGCCTGCTTGAAATCACACTTGTGTGAAGAAATTACTTGCGATTGTCGTTTACTGGTGCGCACGCCACGATAAAGTGAAGGCGTAACTTAAGCCGACGCGAGAGGCCAGTGGACGAAATGCAATAGGGGCCGCCATTTAAAAAAAAAACAATAAAAACAAAACATAAGAAGTACTTAGGTACCCCATCCGTGGTGAGGGGGCGTTTTTACGGGCTTAAATAATTTTTTGAAGAACTTTCGTTCCTTTTAAATTATTTAGTTTTCAATATAATTTATATTGTGTGAATAATATACAATGAGTTAAGTTCTACAATGTACGTTTATTCACACAGGGCCCTCGATCACGTGGTTTGCGATTTCCACAGGCTTATTCTAAATTGTGCAAACTGTATAGGATAAACTGTGGGCGGCAGAGCTCGTTCGGGCGAGCTCCGGAGCGACTGTACGGCAGGGCGCGGGGCTCTTACTTCACAAGTGTGGGCGCTGGGCCGTCGCCCGGCGAAATGTGGCCGTACATGCCACTACGCCGCAGACGAACTAAGGAAGCGGAAGTGCTTAGGTGTCATCGGACTTTTTATTAAAATCATAACCGGCGCGCGCTTTTTTTCCCCAGCTATTATGGTCGCTGCATGGTTTCTTTTTCGTTCCCACCAAACACATTAAATAGACAAAGTAAGCAAAACCAATAGTTCGTCGACAAATCTGAAATACATGTCGTCTGCTTTTCACTAGACCGGACGGCTGCTGATCTGCCGTCATGCAGCCGACTTGGGAAGGCACCCAAAGCGGCTGGGGACCCTGCAACCCCCTGTTGTTCCGTCAGATATAGGGTGCGCGATTAGCAAACAAACACCGTCGAAAAAAAATTATGTTTTTTCTTTTGAGGTTTGTGTACCCACCACCTTTTGCTTACGTTTCGTTATGTTACGGGAGCTTACGTCTGCA